GATTCGACTTTCAAAGATCATCTTAATCAATCTAATGAGACGTGAATGACCGTTCAATCATGGCATTATTACGCATGAGTAATCAAAAATCAAATGCCTTAGTCTCAAACGTCCTAATCAAGTATGTATTCAAGGATTAGCCTTACTGAATGAGTGAAACAAGAAATATCGTCCAACTAAAATTAAAGCAAAAAAGGGTGTGAATATATGAGGACTCGATCAGTTTTTAACCGTGTAGCAAATAGTCAGATTACAAGATCATGCAAAAAGGAAAAGACGTAGACTGAGGGTAACAAAATAAATGCATACCGCGACGTTCCAGTACGATATAAACTGCAAGAGACGCTTTTCAGCCCGATTTGCGATATCTCGTCATTAGCAACTTACGTCTCAAGCATCTATTCGTAACAGTTAAATTAATACATTGAAAGTAGATTGCTGATGACAATATCGCTTAACAATTAGAACAAAACGATGGAAAACTGAAACAATTATAAAAGGGAGAGTGGAACAAGCGGTGTAAAATTGGCATCGGCATACTCATTCATGCAACAAAATTTAAATGAATAAATGAATCAAAACAATAAACATAAATTATGTAAATTACAAGGTAATACAAAGTAGTACCTTACCTGTTCAAACCGTTTCCAATTTACATTAAACAATAAAACAATAACACAATAAGACTCAGTTTTTCTTCATCTCGTCGTCGGACAGGTTTCATAGCTCGTTCCTGGAAACATTTCATTGAGAAATTCATTAAGAAAACTATAAAAATCCTACTCGTACACAATGCGAGAGCGCGATATAGAGGAGAAGCAAAAAAGAGAAATGAACGGATGTAATAAAAGATAATCTAAAAAAATACATCCAGGGCTCCAGCTGGAAAATTCAGACGTTTGTTACGCGTAGTCTTCAAGATCATTACGTCCATATTACATATGGGACGAGCAATGCGTGCTCGAGGTTATGAGCACGCAACATGTCTGATTCTCTGCAATCCGCACACTATTTCACCTCGCGCCTGTCGCGATGTCACAACATCGCGAACCTCGCAACATCCTCGCATCTTTCTAACAACGCGCCGATGTTGCGAGGTGTTCGCACCGCGTCCCGCTCGCGTGTTGAGAGATACGGGAACGTGCGTGATAGGTGAATCCGGCGCGAGCCACGCTCGTCACATGTTGCGACCTCGATGTCGTAACATACAGGGGGGTTTACTACCGCCCTAGATGTTCGCTGTACGTAGGCGATGTTCTTCAGCTCGTAAGAGGTCGACCAAAACATTATCCAATACCGGAGAACTGGCTGCCTTCTGGACTGCCTTCTGGATCGCGAACTTCGGCAGGTAGAATCCGTGGTGGTATTTTTCTAGTGGGGATAACGGGGTTTGACTCGGGTATTGACGAGCGAAGGCGATTGGTGTAAATTCTCTTCATATCGATTCCATCTTTGCCGGGAAGATGTCCCGCCTTCGTTTAGTAATGTTTCCAGCGGAATAATTGTTGAGAAGATCCCGGCGGCACTTCGTTATCTTCTTCCTTGCTTCCAAAATTTTCGATGGTCTGTTTTCGATGATCTTCCTGCAAAGCTGTTTTGCAGCTGGTATGGCTATCAGTCGCTCGAGATGTGATGCAGTCGCTCAGTGCTTTCTCCTGTCTAAACCTTGGTGACTTTCGAAATTCGTTCCAATTTCCTTGTTTGTGCATTAAAGCACTATCACCATAGGCCCTCAGTCCTCTAAGCAGCTGGCAGGTGGTAGTCTTTCGTTGGGTTCTCCTCCATGAGCCAGTCACAAGTCAGGAGCTCCTCCA